ATTATAATTACTTCTCTGCATGTTTAACTGGATACTAACTGCTGTGGTGAGCCTTTTGCAGTTTATATTGCTTAAAACATCGTTTACGGTAAACTGAGTAACGTTTTATAAGCCATTTTTATACTTTTGTGACTAGCCCACCATATCGACCGAATGTAACGCAACACTCAGTTGTTTCGCTCATGTTCAACAAATTCAAACAATAATTGTGCCTAGGATTATGCCATATAAACTGTTTTAACTTATGCAGAGTGTAATTACGGTCAATATTTCATTATCCTCCCTTGTATATATATTTTGTGTTAGTGAAACATTTTAGACATTTTTACTCCATGTGTGCATTATTATCATATTGTTGATGCCTGTCAACTGGAGTCCCTCATGTGCATAAAGTGGGAATAAATTATTGTAAGACGCATTTTATTGTATTATGAGGGAATTGACTTCAAGCTTTATTTATTTTCCCAAGTATATGTAATCCATCCAACGCATACTTGGGTTTTTTTTGTTAATGCGAAGTCAATATCTCTATATTTCTTGGTGTGTTCCATTGAATCACCAGTTATCCGATTTTCCCCACAAACTAAAGATAAAATGACAACAACCATGTTATTGAACCGTAAATCATGTAATTTAAATATTTAACTTAAATAATTCTTATCCATTCCCATACAACTTGTGTGTCCTATATTTGAATGAATAAATATGTACCTTATTATATTATCATTACTAACTGTAATTACTAATCGTATGTGTAATTTATCGAATTGATGATGCCCGTAAACTGGCGTCCCTCATGTAAAAAATTAGAATACACTATTATTATTATTATAAAGAGGTCATCGACAAGCACATAGTTAAAGGTTACGTGGAAAGACTGGTTAATCAGAATGAACCAGGGAAATGGTATCTGCCTCATCACCCGGTCTTTAACCCCAAGAAACCCAGCAAACTTCGCGTAGTCTTTGATTGTTCCGCGAAACACGAAGGTGTTTCCTTGAATGAAAGTTTGCATAGTGGCCCGGATTGCGTGGGATCACTAGAAGGATTGCTGCTGAGATTCAGAATGTCTCCGGTTGCCATTGCAGCTGACATAGAAGAGATGTTTTTACAAGTAAAGTTGCCAGAACGTGAAGTAAAATTAAAGGCAGATTCGGTTGCAGAAGGTATGGATACTAGTGAGACCGTCAGTGTAAATGATCCGAGTGTAGCCCAACTGTCGACAGATGTTAAGGCTGAACTGGAGCTAATAATGAAAGATAGCAGTGGTGGTAATCTTGCGGTTAGACAACCTTCTAAAGGTCGAGCAGCAACAGCTTCTGATGCACCGCTAAGTTCTTCAACTGGTGTCAGTCAGTCGTCGTTGGTTTTGTCATATGCAGTAAGAGAGCCGTCCATGAACCAACGTGTCTCATGCAGTGATTATGCTAGTGTTTGTGCGTTCGAAGGGACGAAAGTCAATGGCCAGTTTAGTGACGATAAGCCAAATGTGTACAAGGTGGTAACTGTTAGACTGACTTGTACGAATAAAGGCATTTCAGGTTTCAAACTACTATTTGAATGTTATTATCTTTGGTGCAAATTACTCTGTACCTTCGCTTGGTTGGTCAGATACGTCGTATGTTTTTTAGTCATCTACCTTCCACGATACAATGTCATGGGCGCGTTACCATTCAGAGTCGAGGATATAGATGATGGAAGGAGGTCAGCAAATGAGCTCAACGACGATTTTCCAAATTAAGGGCGTCAACCTGAGAAGGGTTGTAGGCGTACTGCTGTAAGTCCTACAATTCTTCAAGGGTAGTACGTCGAAGAGCAGTCCATCGTACTTGGTGTATTATTTTGTACATGTGTTCATGTTGTATATAATGAATGGGTATCATCCCTCTTCTATCTGTTGATTAATTTTGTTTGTGTCCGGACGTCTTCCACTTGGATAGTCAACCTGAGAAGGAATGTAGGCGTACTGTTGTAAGTCTTACAGTTCTTCAAGGGTAGCTCGTCAAGGCAGAATCCACAACATTTGATATATTCGTCTGAATCGTGTAATGTATTTGCGCAACACATTCCGAACAATCTGATCACACACGGACTTGTCATAGGAATATATATGAAGTTAATAAAGAGGTAAGAGGTGAGAAAATAGATTAAGGTCAAGTTTAAAGGATATATTCAAGGTCAAAGTAACAATGAAGACCACTAAACCAAATAACAGAGGTAATAGTATATCACCTCTTACCTCTTTATTAATTTTATATATATTCCTATGACAAGTCCGTGTGTGATCAGATTGTTCGAAATGTGTTGCGCAAATACATTACACGATTCAGACAAATTACGTCTTCTTATTGCTTTATCTAAATTCATAAAGGGAACTAATTGTTTTAAATTTAATATATATTGATCGTACATATGTTTGTGTTAAGTAACTGAGTGGGTTCCGATTCATCTGATTCTTGGTTAATTTTATAGTTGTCGCACTGTGTGAATCATCTTGTAATGTTTTTGTAAGTACTTCTGAAGTCGCTTCTAAACTTGTGAACGAATCGAGTAATGTTAGAGTCAGCGTACGCGATTGGATACGCCGGGGAGACGATTGTGCTAGAGTGGTGTGAAGCAACCAATACTTCGTGAACCAGATCAGTGGTGGTACTGTCGACAGAGAGCGTAGATCCCATGCGCCAGCGACAGCGTGTCGGTGCGATGTGGTATGCTTGCTGTGTGTTGAGCTTATTTGTCTTACTTTTCCATTTTAGCCTAGTCCCCATTGGCCCAGGTTCTCGCATTGGCAGTTCAGTTCAAGGATACCGCCGCTGTGGAAAATAGGTAAAGACCCTTTTTGCCAGAAAGTGTCAATGAACGTGAACATTCAACGTTCGTTTATTGGAACTGGCAGCCGTTGGTGGGCAACTTGAAGGCGCGAATGGTACGATCGCGTGCAAGTTCGAAGAAGGCGGAAAGAACACGAATAAAGGTACTTTATAACCTCATTTGTACTAAAGATTTGTTTGTAGACTTTGTATTTTGTCTTGCTTTAATTGCCAAACAATATAAATTCGTTCAAGGAATACTGGTGTTTTGGATTTAAAGTTTGGACAAATACATAGTCATTGTCGGTTCAAAGCGTCTTCGATACAATAGGAACTTTTGGCTTAGTTCCTTGACATCACGTCTACGATAGAGACGGCGTAAAATGAGTGTGAGTAACTTGATATATTTATGAGCAATCCTTTGTGCTCGAAACGTCATCAGTTATTATTACTGTGTAACACTGTGTGATTTATCAAAATAAAATCTTATCCATAATGGAGTTACACTCTTCTACAGTGCCCAAGTATTATACTAATGTCAACGCATGTATGCGCTTAGGACAGTGTGTTTATAGACATCAATTGACAACGTGCGGTTTGGGCAGTCCGATTTCTGTCACACAGCAGGACGAATTCATCTACATGTTCAGGGTAAAATAGTTTCTCTCTACGTAGCATATCTCTACAACAATCAAAAATCCTCTAGAAGTGTTCCCATGACGTCACTATTAATAAGGCTAGTGAAAAGTGGCGAAATCGGGCATTGCCGACTAATTCTATTGGTGATTGAGAGTGGTGGTGATGAGTAACTGTATTTTGCCTCCCCATCTGAAGTGTTTGTATGGAGCTTAGATGTTGATAAGCATACCAGTTCCCTGAATACATATATATTCTCATAATCACCTTTTTAAGGGAATAATAATAGTGTTCAACTATACTTCCTCCTTCTCACATGGACGGTGTTAACCAACTATAGAGGAGTGCATTTAAGAACGTCCAGCACTGATGTTATAAGCAGAGTGTGAAGAGGGTAGCATTTATCAGGACGGCATAATAATATACCTCAGTAAATACAATTTCCCCACAAATTAAAAACTGTGAAATAAACACTCAACATATATCATCGGATGACAACGTGGAGCGATCCAATAATGTTTCAATTTTTGATGGATATAAATTCTCGTCGTATTTCAATGTTTTTCACTCATATTACCCTCTCAATTTTACATTGTGGGTTTTATAAACCAGTATAATACCTTTCTATGACTGAAGAAAGAAGATAAATAAAGGAGTCAGTAGAGGTTCCACTGCAGAAGCTGACAGAATTCGCTGGTCTCTAACATAATATTTTATCTCGAATTATCCACCCATGGATTTTATCAGCTTGGATCTGCGTGTAATTCATCAATAGTGTGCTCTTCACCTTTCTCCGTAAATTCATTAAGATATCAGAAAATCTGCTGTGCCTAATTTAGAGACTTTATCCCAGGAATTGAGGCGTAATAAGTAAGCACATCACAACATTCTTACAAGTTACTTATTATGACTATAAAAACACTCGTCTTATTTCCCATCTGATTGTAATTGATCAACAACACTCATATTATTACCACCAGTCAAATCAGAAGAGGATAATAAATAATCTCAAAATTCTATTTCAATTCAAGCAAATCACAACATTCTAACAAATTACTTATTATAACTATAAGAACATTCGTCTTATTTCCCATCCAGTTGTATTCGGTCAATAACACTCATATTGATTTTTATTCAAATATCTAGTCAATTCCATACATATATATAAATGGAGGAAAAAGTTGTGTGAGTAACTTGATATGATTATGAGCAATAATTTGTGCTCGAAACGTCATCAGTTAATGTTACTGTGTAACAATGTGTGATTTATCAAAATAAAATCTTATCCATAATGGAGTTACACTCTACTATAGTGCCCAAGTTTTATACTTATATCAGTAATAATTGTCTCTCAATAATGGAATTCGCCATTCTGTTCATCTCTATAAATTGCTTGATCAAAGTTATTTGGAACATACCTAATTGTATCTGCTTTAAATTAATTTAACCAGTAACCAAGGCCTCAAGTGTCTGTGTTCTAGGCTTACAAACCTCGATTTTGGTATCTGATGCAACTACCGTTGGATGTTGAAGCGGAACAGCGTTAATCCAAAAATGGCGTTACAACTGTCAATTTTGCCAAAGTTGGAGAAGGATGCAGAGGCTGTAGTGCGCCGTATAGATGTTTTACTCGCATCATTAAAATCTTCATTAAGTCAGGTATGTGATTCAATTCCTTTCGGAAATTCTTCTCCCTGAATTTAAGTTATTTTGTGGATAATAATAATTTGCTTTATTCCAAAACAGTACTTGTGATACAGAATGGAATTCTCAGCATTTTTACTACAGTATTGCATCCAGTTAGTACATTATCAATAAATAGAATTCTACTTAGATTAAGGAAATCACAGTTCATTATTACAACAACATATTGGCATGTCGGTAGCAAAGGTAAAGCTGAACAGTGTTTGAAGGTGTTAGAAAAGTGGGAGCTGTCATATTTACTGGCGTAAGCGAGAGAAAGAAACAAAGCAGCACATAACGGAAAAAATGAGAGAGAGAGAAAAGGAAAAGAAAATGTTGTACCTATAAATGATGTGAGTTGGAAAGACGAGATCCAGTTGTACTACTGACTATTTAATGAATTATAGGTGTCACGCCTAATGCTTTCTTTATCACACAGAACACGAGCTAAGTAGGGTATGGTTGAGTTTTTGTACTTGCTGGTGCGAGCATATAGTTTTCTATATTGGCTTCTGGTTTTACCTGATGAGATGCAAGGGAAGAGTTGTGAGTGAAGAGGGTGGTGTGAGTTAGATAAAATAGATTTGGCCCATTTTTCACATGAGTCCATGTGCCTGTCGACCAGAATATTAACAAGCTGGTTAAGTGGCACGTTGCTTACCCTGCTGACAACATTTAACATCCTGTGTAATATGTTATAGTCTTTCTTCAGTAGCCCGGGAAAAACTAAGGGGGAACAATAGAGAATAATAGGCAGAATGCGAGAATTAACGAATTGTAGGAGTAAGGGTTGGGTAATACCAGAATGTTTTAACTGCTTAATGTAGAAGGTAAGACGGAATATTTTCTTAGAAATTGCTAGGATATGAGACGACCAGGAGAGATCAGCAGATAGAATGACACCTAGGTATTTAATTTCCGATTTAGTTTCTATTTCAGTGCCGTCTATGTTGCATACCTCGTAAGAGCCAAACAGTTTGTTTAGGTCGGATTTATGGCTAAAGGTGAAACTGACCGTTTGGCATTTGGAGGGGTTTAGGGTAAGACCATTTTCCTTGGACCACTGGCTGATTTCTGACAGAAAGCCATTAAGTTTAGAGCAGTCGCTTTGACATTTGATAGGCAAAGATACAGACAGATCGTCAGCGTATTTGACAAAATTAATGTCATTTGAAGATGGTAAGTCATGTAGAAAGAAGGAAAAGAGAAGTGGGGAGAGTACAGTGCCTTGGGGGACTCCGGCTTCAGTGAGTGCAGCAGAGGATGATTTACCTTTGTATACGGTGTACTGCATTCTGTTAGAGAAGTAGGAATGCAACCAGTTAGTGACCCAGGACTCAGTTTCTGTCAAAGAGAGCTTATTTAACAGGAGACATCTAGGAACAGAGTCGAAAGCAGAAGTGAAGTCAAGAAACGTGCAGCGGACGTATTTGGCATCTTTATCTAGTGGTGAGACGATGTTGTTGTGTAAGACAGCTGCAGTGTCTAAAGTGCTCCTACCCTGTCTATAGGCAAATTGTTTGGGGTCTTCGAAGTTTTTAAGTCGGGAAAAAATTTGCTAAGAATGGTACAGTAACGCTTAAAATGGACACGATTCTGAGCAGTTAACAAGATTGGTTACATAAGGGTTAAGATTGCGCTTACATATATGTGAAAATGGGAAGGTAGTTTTTATATCGTTAGAAAATATTGGTTCACTAATGATAAAGTACTGTCTGAATAGTGGTTGACTTTCGTGAATTAATGGTCAAAATGGAAAAAAATTGTCATGGAGTAAATTAGCCCATTTTATCATACTGCTGTTTTAAGTCATTATCCATCCCTGTTTACCAATTCTCTCCGAAAATATGTTAATGGAAATTATGTAAGAATCCTGGTTACATACTACAGCAAAAAGTTGTTCCTGTAGTGGCCGTAATATGGGGGTTTTTCGCTTTATACACTGGGTTATTTTTAATGACGTTGAAGAATGGGCTAAACAATTAGTGAAATGATGTTCTGATAACCAGACTATCCCCGATCTACTGATGTGACCTATGTAGTTGGCCTCACAGTTATCGTAAGGTATTTTATAAATTGTATTATTCTGTCCAATTGGGTCAATAGGCTTCTTTAACCTACAGAGCTTGTCCCTGAGCGAGTTTGTAGGTCTGAATGCCACCCTAATTCCTGCTTTATTAAGAATCCTACCTAGGGTCGCATGTCCCCTCTTTATGTGGTACAACTGTAGATGCCTTATATTCTATCTTATTTATATTATTGTTATTATTATTATTGGTTTCACTATTATTTCTCCTTTGCTTTTGAACTATGTTGATCTTCCTAATGAATTTTATAGGATAGTTATTTAACACCAACACCTCCTATCTGTTTTATTTCATCATTTAGGTCTTTTCAACATACTATTTCGTGTCATTGATCGGTTTGTCATACACTTAACTAGGCGTGCCTTCACAGATGACAGATGAGGTGAATTGAAGTCTAAATATCTATTAGAATGCGTTGGCTTTTTACAAACGCCAGTGAATAGTTTACCTTCTTCTGTTCGTTTTATTTTGCAGTCTGACATAGCTAATTCTCCTTTTTTACTTTCTGATTCAAATGCGAATTCTATCCTCTTTCTTAGTGAGTTTATATATGTGTGTGTGTTTGAAGAAACTAGAGATATGTTCTGTTTTCAACACTGTGAAAGTGTCATCCACATATTTCCATCACATCTTTGGAGTAGGATTAAATGTATTAAGAGCAATATTTTCCCAGCTGTCCATAAAGAGATCTGCTCTGATTGGGAATATTGGTGATCCAACTGCTACGCCTTCTGTTTGTTTATATATTTTGCCCTGGAACTTAAAGATAGTAGACGTGAGGCATAATTGACTTCTTTAAGTAATTTCCTCAGTGAGTAGCTTTGTTCCATGAGTACGTTCAGGATCAGCAGTCAGTTCTCATTTAACTGCTTCTGAGACCATATTGATTGGTTTATTAGTGTACAGATTAGTTATATCAAAACTAACCATTGTTTCACTATTCTCTAATAGAATTTCATTTAGTTTCTTTTCATCTCATATGAATTAGTTAACCTAGAATTTGAACAGTTTCTAATGGGACATAATATTAGAGCTAAGTGTTTTGATAATTTATAAATACGGGTATTTCTGAAATCAATTATTGGTCGTGTGGAGTAATCTGGTTCAAGTATTTCTACAACGCCATATATTCTACTAGCACTATTACATTTTGTCATTAAATTAAATCGCTTAAATTCATCCAGTGGCAGCTTCATTTTGCGCATTGAATCCTCTGTAAATTTTTTGGTCTTATTCACTGTTATGTCTACAGGCTTCTTAGTTTCTTCATGTGGACTCGTTGCAATGTATTTAATGACTTCATTGATATGGTCGTCGGATTTATCTATAACTACAGTCGAGTTTCCTTAGTCAGTCAACGTTTTTATCCTGTTTTCGACCAATCAGAGCTAGTATTTCCGATTTCGCTAAGTTTAACTGTGCTCTCTTTTATCTTTTCGGAGTAGATGTGGATTTTGCTTGAACCTTTTCTGTTGTCATCTTATCTATTAAACTTAATGCTACTTCTATGTTAGGATTGACATTTTCTGGTTGTAGCACATATATTCTTTATTGCTGTTACTGCATGTGATGACGCGATAAGTGAGACAAACAATTTTCAGTAAAGATCTTACTGAACTGAAAATCCCAACTATATGGCCCTCAGTTGATCTAAATCGTACATAAGAACATCAGTTTTAGAAGTACTTAAATTTACTTAATTTATTGACGGGTGGTGAATTTTTGAGGTTGAGAAAATGCTTGTGGGCTTTGTTTATACTGACGAAAGTTAAAGTTAAATCTGTTGGAAATATTTCTTCATATGACAAATTTTGTTTAGTGAATTTCAGAAATTAACATTTAGACTGCCTATCTGCCATAGCATCGTCAATCGACATCTCTATCTATACATTACCATTCGATTATGCTGTAAGTATGAAAATGATGCAGTAAGTTTCACTTTTATCTCTTCCGGTGATAAACACTATGCATTGTTTTCAGTAGGTTTCAATGAGTCCCTTTTATATCCGATTTTCTTTTACGACTGCTTTTCCCTAATTGATCGTATTTGTAATGTAAGTGCTGCCAGAGGATATTTTGCCTTTGTAGACGGAATTACGCCTCAAGGCATGTCATAATATGAATGATGTGAATTCATTACTCTCGTGTTTCTCCTCTTCATTCTTGTAGGAGAAAGTTTTTGACGAGATTTGGTTACTTTTCTAGATGAGAAGTATCTGCGTTTTCATAACTACCATTCTTGATGACTTATTCTACTGATAAATTATGCCAAAATATTTACTTGTTACTCGAGAAATGGTAGGTCATAATAGCTCTACGCAAGTAAATAATAACTTGTGCGAATAAAAATGAAACAATAGGTTAAATTCTAGGAAGTAATAATATACATGTGCAGTCCCTTAATTTAGAAAGCAGAGAAATCACTACTATCGCGAAGTTAGTTGACGTTAGAGCTATACATTTGCATTGCATTTCTTTTCCATAAATACACGCATTCATTCAGTTGAGTGTGAGACGCTTGGAAATTCCTATTACTTGACTCGAGTGGATCATTTTGATCTTTATAAGGTCGAAATCTAGTCATTTTTGGCTTCACTTACAGCGTTAACATCTTCCATATAGGACTGAGCGAAATGGTCTACGGCAATATTTTCAGAGTGAACTTTTTCTCTGAGACGCATATATGATTCGAGTGGGAATACAGAAAGGTGTTCCGATTCTCCTTGCACTGTGATGTCACATATGTACGTTATTGAATGCAAATTGAAAATTATGTGCTTCAAAACGTATACGCTGTCGTATACCCATATTGGTTTGCAGTTAAATACCATGTCTTACGTTGGTTTTTCCATTAAAGTAATTGCTTCGAGGACCTATTTGATTTCAGTGAGTAGTAAACATTCGAACTTATTTGATTAGTCAACGTGAAATACTCAAGGGGTTTTAAAATTAGAGGATAAATGTAGTGATAAAGATGTCAAAGTTGGAAGTCAGTGAAAAATTGTTGATAAAACTTACACAAGAAATACTTTCAATGTTCATATGTTGGCGTACATGTGCTTATCATCTGTTTATAGTAGTATAACCACAGACGTATATGAATTCTAATTATACTTACTAATTTACATAAACTTGTTGAAGCAGTCACAGTGAACCGAGTGAGAGACTTTCTGCTAGCTTCTATGAATACGCACATAGAAGTCTATTTTTCTGAAGACCAGAGAGTCTTCACAGTTGCACAAACCAGATAACGAATTGAAACAGAGAAACCTCTTAAAAATGAACAAAAATTATCTAATCTGTTAGGCACAGAGTAGGTCCTTACATTTTGATGCTGCAAATCTGCTTGTTCTTTATTTCGAAGTAACTTAATTGACAAAGTTTGCGTATCGTCAGTTTAGACTTCTTAATGTTATTGAAAATAGACATCAGGCAAACCATAATCGCTAGAATATTTCTATAGTTAATGTAATTACCTTCATTATTAAACATTACTGTGTTATTTTTAGCAGCATATTGTGAATTACAATACTCTCATAAAATTATATAATGTTTTTTAAAATTTTATTTAGATGTCAAGCCTTACGTTAGATTGTACAAATGTATTTTCAGATTCTGTTGATTATACATGCGAAACTATCAGTACATGTATAAAGGTTAATTTCTTGATTGCTGATTGTTTTCCCTTGTTAATTTTTAAAAAATGATCATGTTCATTGATATAAAATTAGTATTTTTAACATTTAAAACTAGCATGGAAGTGGTTGGTCACCACAATTTACCATAATATATATAATTATACTTTTATCTTCTATAGTTTGGTTTGTAAGGATTAGTTATGTTTTACGAGTTGATCACGGACTGATATCAGTTTGAGAACCATTGAAATCCAGGGAGTACTTTTATCCACGTTTGTTGAAGTTGCTATATGTTTTCACGAAATCAATAAGATGTTTAGTCTACATGAACACATTTGTTCAAGTGCCAAGACACTTAGATACTATTAACGTGGTTATCATCTAAAAGCGGTATTTTCAGTGGTGGAATTGTACCCCACCGATGTGGAGACTTCCAACCAGTAATTCATCTACTGAGGCGTCTTAGTTTTTGGAAGCTCACTCGTAATGAATCATTGACGAGCTTCTTAATTGCTGATAAAGTTCACTGTTCAGACTTGACCCACTAATGTTCCAAGATGTATGCCACTGAAACTGGACATCTATTGGAGCAGACTAGCAATTATTGCTTCAAGCTGTAGTGCCTAAACTGAGAATTTTGGCTTCTGTAATCGTCTAGCATAATTTCTTTTGTGTAAATGAATGATTCTTGCTTCAAGTTATATCGATTAATAATAGCATTCGATGTGCAACTGAGTTTGCATATTGCTGGAAAATATCATTTCAGTTAAATTTGTAACTGAAAAATACCTGCGCAGAGAAATTTAAAGCTGTACGAAAATCTCCGTTTGGGGACAGAAAAATCTAAACAGCATGCGTTGTATAAATATAAGTTTTTTTGCATTATCTGAACATACCAATCTATTACGTTGAAGAAGCAGAACTTATACAGCAGCAGTATAAATTCTAAAGGGTAAAGTGATAAGATTTTCGTTTGATGGATCGGAATAAAGTATGTATGCATCCCTACCAATGTGATCGATCAGGTACCATGCCAGCTGCCTAACCATTTCACTTATAATGCTTATTCACCTTTAATAAAAGAAATGCTTAGTGTGTACTTGTATCATAAAACAATCATGATCATTAATAAAAAAAATTCGATCCATTTTTTCCTCAGTCTACCTACGTACTGATGGCCAAGTGTGAAGAGCTGTCTAAATCAATGTCACAGCTTGAACCTTTAAAAAAAGAAATGTAAGTAAAACTGAATAAAACCAATTATTCTCAGACTTTCTTTTATATCCCATTTCAGATTAATTATCTTTAAGCACTATAGTATACCCATATTCTTTTCTTCTGATTGGAACATAGAGTTTCCAGCCTTTAAAGTGTAAGTATCGGTGTTGTTCTTATGGGGTTAGGTTACTAACCTTGCGTCAAACCTTTCTTTCTTTCCCGGCTTTACTACAGACTGGTAAGTTTGGTAAGATTTAAGAGTGCACCGGCCGGGAATCGAACCTAGACCACTTGAGTAGTTGCGGAGCATTATATCATTAAACCACCGACGATGAATCTTATCACTAACTAGTTGGAACCAGAGGATTGTGCAAAGAAATTGTCAACTGGTATAGTGTGGGTGTTCAGTGATCAGATGAGTGGTTAGCACTAATTATTAATATAGGCGGTTTGCAACTACTCATACCAGTCAGTAGAATGTATCGTGTTGCTTTCACTAAAACTTTGAACTTTATTGGTTTCCATTTATTATAGTTAAGGCCACTTTGACTTTTTCAGTCTGTGGTAAATTAATCAAAAGGTATGATGTGTGTTTGACTAATTCACAATATTCTATTGTTTTTCTTACAGTGAAAGTATAAAACGAACTCTAAGCAAATTTGAAGAGGCATTGTACACATCATCGAAATAGTGATAAGATTTTCTATTCAGCCTAGTGTGTTATATGCATTGCTTTTATTATTTTTACTATTTTTTTGCGTGATAATGTAAAAATATGATTATTTTGACTGGTTCTATCCTATCTTAGTTTATTTTAAATTTTTATTTTTAAGTAAATATTTCACATGGTTACTTAAAGTTAAGACTGTTATTGAAATCAAGCATCATATTTTATTGTAACCAGTTAGGCATCTTTAGTTCATTCATTCATTCACCCACCCAATTGTCAATTTACACCTGGCCATGTATATTTCTTGTTTATTTTCTGTATATCATTGATTAATTTCATAACATGGAATAATGAATTAAATACTAGTTTCTATTTATTTTTTCTGTTGTTTGACGCCGTTATGGGCTATTATTACATATTTCAATATATTAAATATTCCCATAGTAAAATTTAGAACAACACATTTAAGCGAACAATATTGTTTTCAATTAGATCTCATCAGGCTTAACTCTAATATATATATATATATATATATATATATAAGTTTACAAATAAAAATTCAAATATAAACCAATCATGGTGTTTTGTCTATATATATTATTTTTTAAGTTTATTTGATAGAACTTCATATTAGTACCATACAGTGTGTGTTATATCATATATAATTATTTACCATGCAGTTTGATATTTGGGTCTGGGCATAATAAAGCAGCTTAGTGAATTTCTTTGTACTTTGCTGAATAGAATTTTCGTTGACCGTTGAGAAAGGATTTAGAAGACAAATTTAGCGAAGCAATATTTACTTTCCAGTTAGATCCTCTTCAATTGCTCTACTCTAATGTGTACACTGATTTGAATACAATGTAGAATTTAGAACGAAGCGAACAGTGCTGTTTTCAATTAAATGTCATCAGGCTTAACAAATAAATATTCAAATATAAACCAATCACGGTTGTTTGTCCATAGGATGATAATATTATGTCATTGGTCAAATTGATAACAATTATTCTGTTGATAACAAAGATGAAAATTGGAGCTATTTGTGATAAAAAGAATGGTGGAAAACAGCATAATTAAACAGAACAATGCTCAAGTAGACGTAGCGGATAAACCTTAAAGAAAAAAAATAGTCCGACTAAGTAATGGTAGGTTGTGAGAGAAGTAAATAAACTATGTTCTCATGAAGATGTAATAAGATTTAGGGATGATAAGAAAGTGGTGGTGATAACATCAGTTGGTTAGGTCTGAATAGGCCAAGGGAGGGACAATGGTGATACAAACTTCTTTTGAAAGTATAATGTAGGCTGAATAATTCGAATGGCTGTTTTTTTAAAACACAGAACCTGGTACAACAAAAACACACTACACAATAATAATTAAACAACAGTATGTGAAAAAGGAGAGAATGGAAAAAGGATTTCATCCGGAAAAGAAGTGGCTGTAGTGAACACTACCGCACAACATTCGTCGAATCACTGTCAGAAAGGGAAAAGGAAAATACAGCATGTTTGCCACTAATTGCGATTCTTTGCCATATCCGATAATGTATCGAGCCACCGATTCGAGCTATCTCTTGAACTCCAATCAGGGAGTCGTGATTTACCAACCGATGTTAACCTAGCACAAATATCCTTCATCCTACGACACCAAGTCATGGGCTGACCACCTCTCCGCTCTTTCCATCCCATCCCAGGGCTAGCCAACAGAGACCGGTATGGAAACCTTTGGGGTGATAATCTTAACACATACCTGAGTCGGATGATAACATCATTCAACGAATGGTGATCTCTACTGTGTCCAAACACACGCCGCCGAACCTCAGAATTACTCACGTGATGACGCCATCGAAGGCAAGCAGTCCTACTGAGACATCGACGGTCGAATACACAGTCACGGGAGATCCTCAGCTCGAAGAAGCCGGGTTTCACAGGCGTAGAGTAAGACAGCACGCACCGAAGCATCGTAAACCCCGCCTTTGACAGCCAGGCTAATGCCGCGACGGGTCCAGAGATGGCTCAAGTTAACGTATGCGATATTAGCTTTCATGATACGGTTGGAAATCTCATCTGTCACCCTTTCGCCAGCACTTACACAACTGCCCAGACACAAACTTATCAACAACTTCAACCGGTTCACCGGCAAGAGTGAGCGCAAGTACAAACTCTTGCCAATCTTGTAATAGTACTTTGCACTTAGACTACGCAAAGCACATACCATACTTACAGACACTGATCGCCAACTGATTAAACCTGCATGCTATCGCACAGTAAGACGATATCGTCTGCATACTCGAGGTCGAAAAGTCTATCTCCAGGTAGCAGATCTACACCACCTTCACGCACATCCTTCAGAGTTGACTCCAGAATGTCATCGATGGCAAAGTTAAAGAGAAATGGAGAGATCAGACAGCCCTGTATAACCCCACTGTTGGTTGGGAACAGTGATGATGGTTGGTTGTATGCCCCCACTCTACCTGAGGTTTTTCTGTATAGGACTTTCAAGATGTTAATAAACATTTCAGATACACCCCTCTCTAACAGACAGTTCCAGAGCACAGTTCTGTTCAACGAATCGAAGGCAGCCTTAATATCAAGAAGCAAAACGATTGTCGGCCTGCATTACGTGTGGCGGTGTTCTAACAACTGTTCTAACAAAAACATCGAACACATGGTCATTGCATCCACCGCCTGAACGAAATTTAGCCTGCTCTTCGCGAATCAACCCCTACGTGCTTTGCACAGCCCGCGAAGCAAGGCAGCAGTCAATATTTTAGATGCAACTGGTTGCAAACTGATAACCTATGGTTGTCTAATGTGTTATATCGACCCTTTTTAAAGATGATGACGATGATGGCTTTATTCCAGTTTGATGGAGCATCTTCACTATCCTGTACCTTACTGAACAATCCAGTCAAAGCTGTGACAAGAACCTCGCCACTGTCTTTAAATGGAGTCGGGGGCAGATTTTCTAGGCTGCGTGCCTTATGGCACTTCAACACTTGGAGTTGTTTTCTGACCTCTACTTCAATTGGCGGGGCGATATTTCCCGACCAAGGCGCATTGTAGCTGATGACGGTGGGTGTTGTCGGTGATGACCAGCTAAACTGCTTCTCAAAGGGCTCTGCTCACAGTTGCAGGCGTCTTTTTAGGCTGGTAATTGTCGTACCATCTACATCACAGGCCGTCTCGACGACACCGTGCTTCTTGCTTTCGGTGACTCGGATGAACTGGAATGCCTACCAGGTGCAGCTGCTGATTCCATCTCACACTTACATTCTGAACATCAGACTTCGCGGTTCTTATGTAAACAATGTTTAGTCTCGTGCGTAAGTGCCTTTCACATATTGTACTCGTTTGCTGCAGCAATAATTTGGCAAGGAACTTGCAGAAACTCAGTGGTTCTTAGCGGAGCATTCTTTTAATCCTCAAACAGCTTCCCTCGTCATTTCCATGGAGTCCTACATATCTAGCCAATGTTCATTTATACTACTGGGAGGTTTGTTAGCTATTTTTGATTATAACAGCCTGGTATCTCAGAGGTACATCGACATGTAGATGACTCCGTTTATCAACACCACCATAATGCAAGGTGAACTTGGCACACACTGAAGGGTGGTTGGAGTCCAGACATCTGCTGTAGAAGGGGCCGTGCTCGTGTATGAATCCTTACTATCGGAAACTGACAATGATATGATCAATCTGAGTCCAGGCTTGATTGGCATAGGGAGGACACCAAGTAGCTCTACGGCAATGGATGTGCGGGAAGTTGGTTCTAGCTAGAAACAGTTTGTTACCTGTTTAAAGCTTAAGAAGGCGGTCCCCCTTATCTGATCTGCGACCATGTAGTCCCCAAAAAACACCTAAATGACTCTTCTGTGAGCGTAGACGCCCGACTGTAGTCCCTAGCCAGCATTACGGTATCTCTCTGACGCGTCATTTCCAGGAAATCACTCAGCTGGTGGTAAAACTCATCCTTAACTGCAGTCGGTCGGTGCATAAGCAGAGACAAAAAATAGTCACCACCTATCTGGCCTACCGCTTCCCACTTTCGCATAACCTTCTAGCCTCATAGCATATATACAACTGTTAGTTGGGATCCAGTCGGGTAATGCAACTTCGGCTCTAGTGCTTAGTACAACACCGATACCAGCTAATACCGGCCTCTGACGCCATAGGGTTACTCGATGATCGCACGTAGTACATACTATTCGAACTTTCAGATAGGGAATGTATTGGAAGCACCTCAATGGGATCTTGAATGCGGGTCTCCGAAATTCAGCAGACATCGACAGCAAGGCTTTCTGATGTGATTAGCAGGACTTCCTGTTGTCCGATTTGCATTTGTGTCCGAACACTGTAGTTAGAAAGCTTGAACAAAACCCGCGGTTTCAGAATATCTGCTTTGGATGTCTCACTTGGGACCAATATTTTGAAGACTACTCACTGACGTCTAGAAATGGCATAGAAAGGCTGAGGATTCAGACAAGAGCAAGAGGCTGACGAAAGTGAAGACACTAAGAATAGCAAAAGTAAAACAGGAGTTTACGTATAAAAGTAAGGTTAAACAGAAGACCGTCGCATGAAGTATCATTATTGTTCGAGAGCATTAGAATGAGCGTGCGATTTGATTTACTCATGACTAACTATTTCATTTCATTGTCAATGTGAGGGCTAAGATACTGCCTGGGTGCCCAAACCGAATCATGTGGTTCTCCTACGGGACTATCTCCCGAGCCTTTGACTTGAAGTTTCCTCCACAAGACAACGTTAGGAGCTACGTTCTCATGGTTGATAGTGACCAATGCAGGTTCGTACGCCATTCAGTCTGATTGGATTTTGGAGTCTATGTACTCCATTGTAACTGCTTTTAGTCTAACCGCTATCAAATCAACCTTCTTGGAGTGGTAGGGCCTGCAGGAACATAAGTCCCAGTCAGTGTAGCTTTTTGGGTCACTGTGGTATGCAAACCCGACCACCGCGTCCAGGTAGCAGTTGTCAGTCGAATACCTATAGTCTTAGCTA